AAATTTTAAAAAATGGATCTGCTCACGTTACATACCTACCCACCCCCATTCAGTATTAACCAACTTCACAACAGATCCTTTGTTTCCAGTGGCAGATAGCATCGATATTGTAGCAAAGAGGAAACGTGCTAAGTTGAAAAAGTTCCCATACAACAGTTACTGTATTGCCTTTGATTCTGTTCCAGCAATACATCTCATGATGGTTTGTTCACACACAGCAGGATGCATTCAAGATCTGACCCAATTACATAAAGCAAGGAGGGAAAAAGTCAAGTTTCTACCAACATCCAAACGACAAAGTATGCCATCATTCTAATAATATCTGATTTTTGTTCTGGACGATGTTGTTGATTTATATTAATAAAATAAATAATCCTTGCATTTGATATAGCATGTTTCACGTCTTCTAGACGTCTCAAAGCACTTCACAGAATATACTGTAAAGTGAATTGACTGTATATTTTGTGGGCAAAACGCAGCAGCCAATTGCGCATAGCAGTGTCCCACAAACAGGCATGATTGAGTGACCAAATTATTATTATTATATTATTTTTTGAGGGATTATTAACTCCGGAAAAGCAATCCGCTAATCGACTAACACAGGTTCCTACTTACTGCTAGGTAAACAGGCATGTGGAGTAAGCAAACATTTCATCAAACCCAGGTTTCTCACTTGTGAGGTGAGTGCTCTAACCACTTGAGCTACAGGTCTCCACAATGAACAAAGGAGTGGCAAGCTAGACTTTGAGTTCAAAATCACAACTGGAGTTTCAGGAACATTCAAAAGAAAAGAATATAAAATTTGTTTCAATCTCTCCAATATCTAAGTTGGCAAATGTACTACATAGTTTGTGAAACTGAGTCATGCATAGCAAGAAAGATCCAAGATCCAAACTTGCAATCCTAAGTGCTACTTCAATTGATCTTTGGTGTGCTATCAACAGGGGTACTACAATTTGCCTCAGTAGCCTGGAGCTAGGAAGGTGGGGGAAAAAAAATCAGCTAACCTAATGACCCTTCTAGGCAGCGTTCATATCAGGTGTGGACAGGATGGGTGCGGCTTGGCTGTAACACTGCCTACAGTTACACAGCCTCATACTCAGCGTGTACTCATACATGAATAATGGATACTGAGGGGCATGCTCGGAGCATGCAGAACCATTAACAATATGAATCAGTAGTTTTAAGATTTAAGAGAAGGGCATAATTCTCACTGCTAAATTGGGTGCAATGATTGTACAATATAAAATTATGAGCATAATAAACCCGATGAGCGCTTGCAATGAAATGAATAGCTTTCCTCATTTAACAAACCAGCTCTGCAAGTGACCTATCCATATGTTTCAACTCATTTCCATTTCACTATACATATCAACACTTACTTGGCTTAGGACCATGCTGAGAATCACGTTTTGTTTTAATTAGGCATTTAAATGCATAGGTAACTAATATCAGAGCATTGTATTAAAATTATTCAACAAATAATATACATAGATAGAGCTAATATACTGCCAGGAGAGCGAGATTGAATCCTGTAGCTCAGTGGTTAGAGCACTCGCTTTGTAAGCGAGAGACCTGGGTTTGATTTCCGTCAGGGTGAAACCTTGGGCCAGTTTCCTTACTCCACACGCCTAATAATAATCCTTCAAGAAAAAAACAATAATAATAAATTGGTAAATTCAATCCACAACTTATGTGGGTCACTGCTGTGCACAATTGGCTGCCGCATTTCGCCCACAAATATACGGTCAATTCACTTTACAGTCTATTCTGTGAAACGCTTTTGAGATGTCTAGAAGACGTGAAAAAGTGCTGTATCAAATGCAAGGATTATTATTATTGGTTGGAATGGTGTCGGGCCTTTTTAAATCTAGAGAGAATTATTGATGACTTGAACAACTTTTAGATGTTAAGTAGATTGTGTCACAAATTCACCGAAATACTGCAAAAAAAATGTGATTCATCCCCCCCCCCCCCCCCGAAACTAAGGTAACAAAAGTAATGTTCCTGCTAACCAGAGGCGACGTGTGCATTAAGGCGTTAATCGCACTTCACAATCTGGGTTGTCCACACCCTTAGGAGCAGATCAGGCAAAGAAAGGTTCACTGCTTTGCAATTCCCCGCAGTGACACGAGAGAGAGAGAGAGTCCTGTAGCTCAGTGGTTAGAGCACTCGCTTTGTAAGTGAGAGACCTGGGCTCAATTCCAGGCAGAGGGCGAAACCTTGGGCAAGTTTCCTTACTCCACACAGAGCCTAATAATAATCCCTCCAAAACCAAAAACAATAATAAATTGGTCATTTTCAATCCACGACTGTTTGTGGGACATTGCTGTGCGCAATTGACTGCCGCGTTCGCCCACAAATATACAGTCAATTCACTTTACAGTATATTCTGCGAAGCGCTTTGGGACGTCCTCCCGACATGAAAAGCGCAAGGATTATTATTATAGAGATCACCATCAACCCAAGGGTTTGGCCATTGACACTGAAGTGCAAGAGTTCCTTCTGCTTTCTGGTCATTGGAGCGAATGAGACATAATTTTATGTTCTTTTCTCTCCCTGAACACACGGGAGAGAAGAGAAGAGAAAAGCGCACCGCATCTGCACCACGTAAACTCCATCCTCCGGGCTCCCAAGTTACTGAAATGTGATCTAATTGTATAGCACAGACTCTCGCTGTGTGTGGGGGGGGGGAGGTTGTACTTCAATGCAACACTTTTATGCTCCGTTTCCAACACAGTGAATAGTTGTAAATCCACCCACACCCCAAAACCCCCCCACCCCAAACCCCCCCACCCCAACCCCCCCACACATCCCCACCCCCCCACCCCAAACCCCCCCACACATCCCCACCCCCCACCCCAAACCCCCCCACACATCCCCACCCCCCCACCCCAAACCCCCCACCCATCCCCACCCCCCACCCATCCCCCCACCCCAACCCCCCACCCATCCCCACCCCAAACCCCCCCACACATCCCCACCCCACCCCCCACCCCCCACACATCCCCAGCCCCCCCCACACATCCCCAGCCCCCCCCCCCACACACATCCCCAGCCCCCCCCCACACATCCCCAGCCCCCCACCCCAACCCCCCCCACACATCCCCAGCCCCCCCCCAAACCCCGCACCCATCCCCACCCCACACACCCCAAAAAAAATCGTTTTAAAATAAATAAACAGTGCAATGAAACCATCGTCTCATTCCCCTTTTGGAACCACATTAAAAACCCGGGTCACCGACTTGATTCCCCGCTGATCGGCGTGAATTGTTTTTGCAAACACTCAATTTAATAATAATAAATCCTTTGTCAGATTCACAGGTGAACACTCTGACGGTCTCACCCGCACTGACAGCCGAAACCGTCCCCGTGGTCGGACCCCTCGCAAACTCGCAAGTTTGTTTCATGAAGTCTTCCGATATCCAACAACACACACAACACACACACACACAACCCCCCCCCCCCCACACACACACACACACACAACCCCCCCCCCCCACACACACACACCCACCCCCACACACACACACCCACACACACACACACACACACCCACACACACACCCACCCCCCCCCACACACACACCCACACACACACACCCCCCCACACACACCCACCCCACAACACCCCCCACACACACACAACACCCCCCCCCACACACACAACACCCCCCCACACAACACCCCCCCACACACACCCCCCCCCACACACACACACCCACACACAACCCCCCCCCCACACACACACACACAACACCCCCACACACACACACCCCCCCCCCCACACACACACCCCCCCCCCACACACACCCCCCCCCACACACACACACCCACACACAAACACCCCCCCCCACACACACACACACACAACACCCCACACACACACCCCCCCCCCCACACACACACCCCCCCCCACACACACACCCCCCCCACACACACACACACACACACACCCCCCCCCCCCCCCCACACACACACACACACACACCCCCCCACACACACACACACAACACCCCCCACACACACACACACAAACACCCCCCCCACACACACAAACACCCCCCCAGACAGACACTCACACACAGACAGACACTCACACACAGACAGACACTCACACACAGACAGACACTCACACACAGACAGACACTCTCACGCACACACAGACACTCTCACGCACACACAGACACTCTCACGCACACACAGACAGACAGAGACAGACACACAGACAGACACACACAGACACACACACAGACACTCACACACAGACACACACACACAGACACACACACACAGACACACACACAGACACACACAGACACACACTCACACACACACAGACACTCACACACACAGACACTCACACACACAGACACTCACACACACAGACACTCACACACACAGACACACACACACGCAGACACACACACACAGACACAGACAGTCACACACAGACACACACACACACAGACACTCACACACACAGACACTCACACACACAGACACTCACACACACAGACACTCACACACAGACACACACACACAGACACACACACACAGACACTCACACACAGACACTCACACTCACACACACAGACACACACACAGACACTCACACACGCAGACACACACACGCAGACACACACACACAGACAGTCACACACAGACACACACACACACAGACACTCACACACACAGACACTCACACACAGACACACACACACAGACACACACACACAGACACTCACACACAGACACTCACACTCACACACACAGACACACACACAGACACTCACACACACAGACACTCACACACACAGACACTCACACACACAGACACTCACACACAGACACACACACACAGACACACACACACACACACGCGGGACAAGTGGTGCTTTCTGCATTACGGACTGAGTTCAAAAGCCGATCAGAGCGGCCGCCTCCCGCCTCCCGCCTGTGCCTTCCCCGGGAGTCAGCCCGAGCCACGCACCGCTTACCTGCGTGTTGGAGCTCTCCCGCAGTCTGATCTGCTGGGGATGGCCCGGCTGTTTGCCCTCTCTCCCTCTCCCTCTCTCCGGCTGTGCAGCCGATTTTTTATTTTTATTTTGCAGCTTTACTGCGGAGCGAACTGAAGTGAAGAAGCGGTGCGAGGCTGCGGGGCAGAGGGACAGTCCAGCACCGACCACACAGAAAAGAAAAGTTGGCTACTGCACAGCAAAGCAACACCAGGCGGCGAAGTAACAGCAGCAGCAAAGCGGGTGGAGGGGATGGCTGCAGAAACGAGAGAGAGAGAAAGAAAGAAAAAATGCCACGACCAAAGGTCGGTGTTGCAGTGAGTGAGGGAGTGAGTGAGTGAGGGAGGGAGGGAGGGAGTGTCGGGGGAGAGGAGGAGAGCAGAGCACTGACTGCACAGCTGAGAGCTGCTCTCCCTCCAACTCCACAACTCGCTCCCGGGGCGGGACCGCCTCTCGGCTGTCAATCAGGCGCCGCTCGCCCTCTGTGACGTCGAGCGCCCCGCCCCCCACGCTCCTTTTCCATGACGCGCACCTGCCAATCAACCGGTGGCTCTCCCCCCCCCCAGGTCCCCTCACCTCACCGCACAGCACCGCACCGCAGCGTTGTCAGGTTGGGCGGGTTTTCCTCCAATTGGGCGGGTTTTCCTCCAATTGGGCGGGTTTAGCTTGCCTGTGCGTGTAAAAAAAAATCCCAGCTTTGGGCGGCCGCCTGATTTTTAATTTTTTTTTAAGTTCAAACCTGTAACCAACCCCCCCCCCCCCCCACACCCCACCCCCTCCCTCACACACACACACACACACTTTGAAGATCTTCTCTTAAGCTTCAAAAGCACTATCCTAAATTGACCAGTCTGCCACCCATTGGGAGGCAACACATGATATTGGGCTACTTTTGGGCTAGGGTTTTGTTGACTTTGGGCTACAAGGAGTTTTTAATCTCTGGCCGCGCTGCCGGCAGATGGGGGATGCAGAAAGAGGTGGGCATAACACGTGTTTAGCTGGCGGTTGGCAACTGGCAATGCCAGTCCGGGTACCCAGGTGATGCAGAAGGCCCTATACTGCAAGTGCTGCCCAATTACCAAAAAAAAAGCCTTCCTCCCTATCCCTCACATCACAATAACAAGATTATATTTCTATAGCGCCTTTCACATCAGGAGGACATCCCAAGGCGCTGGACAGAGTACAGCATTTCAGACCCGAGTTGGGGTCAGGGGGTTAGGAGAGAGGGGAGGGGAAGGGGGGTAGGGGGGTGGCCGATGGCATGGTCGAAGAGGAGAGTCTTGAGGCGGGACTTGAAGGAGGCTGAGGAGGGGGCGAGGCGGAGTGATTGGGGGATGGAATTTCAGAGGTTGAGGGCAGAGTGGCTGAAGGCTCTCCCACCAATGGTGGGGCAGGTGGGTCGGGGGATGCGGAGCAGGCCAGAGCTGGCTGAGCGGAAGGAGCAGGCGGGATGGTAGGGGTTAGGAGGTCACAGAGGTAGGGTGGGGTGAGGCCGTGGAGGGCTTTGTAGGTGAGAACCCGGATGTTGAACTGGATCCTCTGAAGGATAGGGAGCCAATGGAGTCGAGCGAGAATGGGGGAGATGGGGTCATGGAGTTTGGTGCGGGAGAGGACACGGGCTGCAGAGTTCTGGATTATCTGCAGCCTGTGGAGGGAGGGGTTGGGAAGGCCGACAAGCAGTGATGAAGACGTGAACAAGAGTTTCAGTGGCCTGAGGGGTGAGGTAGTGGCGGAGTCGGGCGATGTTACGGAGGTGAGGGAAGGCAGAGCGGGTCATGGCTTGAATGTGGGGAAGAAAAGACAGTTGAGGGTCGAACAAGACACCCAGGTTCCTGACTGGCTTGGTGAGTTGTAGTGAGCGACCATGGAGGTTGATGCTGCCAGAGCCTGAGGTGCTGAGGCGCTGGCGCGAGGCAATCAGGAGGGCCTCAGTCTTGTTCACATTCAACTGTAGGAAATTTGCCCTCATCCAGGACTTGATGTCCGACAGACAGTCTGTCAGAACAGCAGTGGTCCTGGAGTTGAGGGTGGAGGCAGAAAGATAAAGTTGGGTGTCATCCGCATACATATGGAAGTTGACCCCATGTTTGCGGATGATGTCACCAAGGGGGAGCATGTAGGTATTAAAGAGGAGAGGGCCAAGGACAGAGCTCTGGGGGATGCCAGACGTGACAGTGCGGGGGCTGGAGGAGAAACCGTTAGAGGCAACAGAGTGGAGATGGTGAGAGAGATAGGAATCGAACCAGGCAAGGGCAGACCGGTGATGATTAAGTAAAGAGGAGAGGCGGTGTATGAGGATGGAGGGTCGACAGTGTCGAAGGCGGCAGAGAGGTCGAGGAGGACAAGGAGGCAGAGGGAGCCCTGATCACAGATGTTCAGTATGTCATTAGTGACTTTGACCAGTAGATCAAAGATGTTTGGCCACATATAGATCAATGTGACCAAATAACTGAAACAAACTCTTTTTGGTCCACTGGCCAGATGTCCAACAAATGCAGGAGCCCATTACCATGCTTAAGAGTACCCAAATCAGACTGAGAGTTCCACATATGTATGCCACTTACACAAGGAAAATTACTTGTGTCTGGAATAGAATTCACACACACTCTCTGTGGAGGCACTCACCCTGCTTGCCTAATTACCAAGAGTATTGAGTGCAGATTGGCAAGCGAAAAGGCCTGAGGATCCCTGAGTATACTAGAGTTATCTAGATAAAATCAAATTGGTTGCCATTGAGAGCACTGTTTGCCAAGTAGTGTATACAAAATGAGAAACTGGTTCGGGTTAACCGTAACCCTACTTTTTCTTAATCATGTTTAATTAATTGAATTTGTCAACAATTCATTCATTAATTACATGGATGCACACTTTTGCAAAGTGAAGTGTTGAAATTTAGTCCAGATTTAAAGATCTTTGCACTGGGTTTTAGATGTTGGGGTTAACTATACAGTATATATTATTCAGTCGTGGACAGTTCAAATCAGTGACAAACTGCTGGAAAGAATTGATCTAGAGAAAACCACTGGAATTTTTTTTAGATCCATCAAGGGATGTGATTTTGAGAATATATGTTTAATGTCCTGTAGCTAAAAATGTATTTTGTGGAACACTGTAAAGACGAGAGTTGCCAAAACAAAGCTTTAGAATTTACATCATATCCATACTCTCCTTGTTGCTGGGCGTGGTATTTATTCACTGAAAATAATTATAAAAAGTTGAGCAACAAGCCAAAGAATATGTGCTCAGAAATGTTGTACAATGTATACGGATCTGTAAGAAATCTCATTGTCAGATAAGATGACTCAGCTATGCAAGAATTTGTGGCAAGCAATGATGTGTGTGAAAGTCAGCGCTTGCAATAATAATAAAGTCTAACTTGCATCGCCTTCAACTGCCTTTAGCTAGAATTGACCACTTGCAGAAATCAATCATCTTGGACCGCTGTTGTGAAGATTACAAGGACAATTATCAAAAACTTGTGCCTCAAAGACATGAAGCTGGCTTTCAATCATAGCAGTGCATGATCATTTCCTCATTACCCTGCCAGCAGTATTGTCAATCTATGAATATTTTAGAGCACTGATAGTAAACCTTAGTGATATTTTAGTTCTACATTGTAGAGTTTGAACAATAGTCTTTAAAGTTTTTTTTAAATTTGTTCCCTTAATCCCTCAAATATAATTGGTCACTCGCTTGATGGCTGTTTGTGGGACATTCCTGTGCGTAAATTGGCTGCCGCATTTCACCCACAAAATACGCAGTCAAACCACTTTATAATGTATTCAATGAAGCACTTTGTGACATCTCAATGACGTGTTAAGGCTCTATATCCCGATTCCACTGGCTTCCCATCACACAGAAGATACAGTTCAAGATCCTGGTGCTCACTTTCAAAGCCCTCCATGGCCTTGCTGTCCCGTACCTCTAACTCCCTACCAACCTTTAATGGGTGACCCACCATTGCCAGGTGGGCCCTCTGCCACTCTGCCTCCACCTTCTGGAACTCCATCCCGCAGTCCCTCTGCCTCGCCCCTCCCTTGTCTCCTTCAAGATCCATTTCAAGACCCTCCTCTTCGACTGTGCCTTCAGTCAACCTCCTTCCCCCACTTGCCCTTCACCCTCCCCAATCTCGACCCCCCAGCTCAGGTCCGAAACACTGTTTGACGAGTGCCTTGGGATGTCCTCTCGACATGAAAGGCACTATACAAATGTAATTTTGTTGTTGTATATCAAAAGTAAGGATTATTATTTTTTTTTATCGCCTTACTACATTGAACTTGACAACAATTTGAAATGGTGGAATTGTAGGTGGCAATCATAAATTAACAACATGTATTTTCTTGCCTGTTTAATTTATTCCCTTTTTAATTACTTTTAGATATGACAGTATTTTAGGATGGAGTGCTTCAGAAGAAGGAACTGCTTGATTTTGGAGGCTTGAATCACTGAGGCGTGAGGATCAAATTTGAGTGACTTTAAATGTGCATTCTCTGAAGGGAGGTTGCCAAGAAACCCTGGATTTATCATAGGTGGTTAGCCAAGAGGTTATCAGGCACAAGGTGTTGTGAGGAGTGATTGTCAGGCATACTTTTCAGGCTTATCTCAATATACACTATATGGAAATGGTTTATTAATTTATCCAAAGTTAAAGATGTGCATGACTCTACTAGGTCTAATTCATATTAAAACTTAGGAACTGTTTAGCTAAACACAATTATGTTAAATGTTTATACCATCATACAATTATGTCACTTTTATTCACGTTATTTCATGTCCTCCTGATGTGAAAGGCGTTATACAAATATAATTTGTTGTAACTTAATTTAAAAGTGTCATACACAACAACAACAACTTACACTTATACAGTTCCCTCCACGCAGGGTCTTAGAGCGCTTAACAGTGGCGGAGCCTGACTCCGAGCTGAATGGGAGGTGACAGTAAGCACAGTCAAAAAGGAAGGTTTTCAGGCGGGACTTGAAAAAGGGGAGGTGGCAAGTCGGAGGGATGGAGGGAGAGTGTTTCAGAGGGCGTAGTGGCTGAATGCGCGACCTCAAATGGTGGAGCGGAGGGTGCAAGAGACAGGCAGGAGGCCGCTGCCAGTTGAGCAGAGATGGTGGATTGGGGAATGAGGAGGTCGGAGAAGTAGGGAGGTGCCAGAGAGTGAAGGGATTTGAATAAGAGTGTAAGGAAATTGAAGCCGAACTGTTCGGTGATGGGGAGCCAGTGGAGCCTGGCTGTTATATAAGCATATAACTCAGAGGAATGAGTTTCTCCCAATGGCCTGGCCCACAATTCTCCAGATAAAATTCACAAATCACTTCATGGTTGTTTGTGGGACGTTGCTGTTAGCAAATTG